AAAAATCAAACTCTGAATGGGGCGTTTGTGCCAGAAGTCAAAATGAGCAAATTCCAGTTTGACCACCAGAAAAGATAATGCGCAACCAAACCCATCAATGCAAGATTTATATAAAACATGATTTATCATGCATCGCCCATTAAATTTTTTCTGGCAATAGCAAAAAAATGTTACCTTTATAAAGCAGTTTGTAGACTTCAAAAAATGTTCACTTCGCAAAAAACGCATCGCGCCATATATAGCGCTATGTATGGAAGCTAATATTCCATACATTTTTTCTTCAAAATAACAGTCGAACTTTTAGTCGTCGAGCGAAAAGTTGAGTCATTGAATTCATACGGCGCACCATATATGTTGCTATGTCTGGAAATACTTTTTGCATAAAACTCAGTAATTGAATATTACAAAAAAATACACAAATTTGGTTTGGTTAACCACCAGTTTTTGTAAAATATAGAAAATTAGCTCCGTGAAAAAACACGGCATACCATATGTTTTGGAAAATTGGCTTACAATTTTTTTACCATTATTTATTTTTGATGCTCAAAAAATTCATTCCAGTCTTTTTTTCTGCACCTCGATGTGAATCTGACCCTGCTTCGATAGAGAATGTGAATTGATGACTTTAAAAGGGAAATCCAATCTTTTGCAAGCATTTCAATACCTTTAAATAATTTTAAAGACTTGTAACGATTTTAGCTTGCTGATTTCAACATTGGTTTATTTTCAAACAAATGGTTTTTTATCAAAAACTCGGCCAAATTTCACAAAAACTTAGCCAATATTACTTATTTTACAAGCACTCGGCCACATGAAGCAAAGGTTGTGAAAATTAATAGATCAGAACAGCTTACATATGTTAAGAAAATTTTTAAGCTTTTTTAAATCCCTACTTCCGCGTTGTGTAAACGAAATACATAGCGCGTAACAGCACAAACTCGCCAATTCTGAAATTTTTACACCGCCATAGTGTTGCGAAAGACATCATAGTTTAAAAGTATCAGATGGTAAGGAAATATTGACCTGGTTAGCTGTTTGCTGCAAAAAAAATACTGAATTAGACGACGAATTTAATCATAAAAGCTTCAAAACTTTGGTAAAACAAAGAAAAAAGAGGCGAACCAACGAATTCTTTTTTGTATTTTTTGCACCCGTGGGGAGGGGCTAAAATGGATAATTTTCTACTGCAAATAACTAATTTTGATTAGAATCATTTTAAATTCCGGAAGGGTCACATAAGAAGCTCGCTGCTTGTTTCAATTATTCGTGCAAAAAATTCGAAATTTTTCTGGCACTGAGACATCATTTTGGGTGATTCCAATTACTGCCAGCAGGTTTTAAACAAAATACAACACTTGACGCCCGTCGACTTTCCCTAGGATACCGACAACAAATAAATTCTCTCTAAGCCACAGTTGCTTCCGACTTTGCAGAGGTGTCATGAAAAAGTCAAGTTCTCTAGGAAAAAGAAAAATTTTAAGGCTTTCTGGTTAACTCATAGCATTTGTAACTTCATCAAACTGAAATTTGTTGGCTTTTCGAAAAGGTAAAATCAGAGTACCCAAGAGGATGAGGTCTAAACTCAACGACAACTGGGCGAGGGTTGTACAAAATTAAATGCAAAAAATGCAACGAATTTCCAAAAAGTGTAATGCGTGGCTCCTTCGTGAGAAACGTAACAAGCGAATAGTCAGCTTGATCTACAAAAATGTATTAGGTTGGGTTGAATTGATTAAAGTTATCCTGACAAAAAAAACAAAGTCAATCAAAATTCACTCCATAGAAATCACTTCAATTACAAGCAAACCTCATCAGAGGAATTCTTTTATATAGCCCATTGAAATTTGAAAAACCTTCTGCAATTTTTTTTTGAAAATCACTTTTTTGTTCGATCTGTAAAATTGTATTGTTTACTAATCATTTTTGAAACAACCTGCTAACTGTTTTGAATAAACAATTTTCAAAAATTGGTCAAAAATATTTGACCAAATAGTTTTAGCGTAAACCTCGATTGACTTCAAAAAGACTAAATTTGATGTGAAAATGGGGGGCTATTCTCATGCGCGAAGGACCGAATGGGCCAACAACTGAAGACAAAGTTAGCCGAAAATCAATTTTTGAAAACAAACAATTGCCATTCAGTTAAAATGAATTAAATGAAGCAACATTTTGCTTCTTTCATTACGCAACCCTTGAAAAAAGCTTCTGTTTTTCCTTCAAATTATATCAGCGCTGCATAGCAATTTCTTCAAAACATGTAGATTCTGCATTAACTAGTTTGCTCACAGCAAAAAACTGATTAATGTTTCGACTCAATAAGAAACAATTGACAAAATGCTTAAATCAGGGCAGAACCTTGATGTACCGACTGCAATTTAAGATATATCGAATAGTTTTTGATACATTTATTTTTATTTGAAAAATCAAAAACAGTGAATAATAATAAAAAAAGGAAATAGTAATTTTGTGAAAAACGTCATACAAACGCTATAAAATTACAAAATGTTGTAAACACTACAAGTTTCGAAAAAAGCGCCAACTAGTTTTGATTTGCGTGATATTTGAAAAGCAACATATAAGTTTTAAACTCAAGAAATATTTAAAGCATCCTTACTTTGGAAGCATTCAGTCAAATTAACCAAAGGTTGTAAAATTTTTTAAAAATTACAACAATTTAGCTTGCCTCAAAAGAATATGCTTGATTTTGTGTTTAAATAAATAACCATTAAAACGTTAATTGAACAAATATTTTAGGCAACACCGTTTTTGGCAATTTGACACCGCCTTTTCTAGACGAAAAAATAATACGTACAGTTTATGATAGAGATAGATGTATTATAGTAAAGTGTTTGTATTGACATGGATTGATTTTGTTACAAACTAGCTCAAAAAACTCCGACCACACTTATCACAAAATTTAAATAAAAGTCTGGAAAAAACGAGACAAATAAATAACTTCTTTTTGACGCCCGTCGAATACACTTGAGGACCGTCGAACACACGTCACGTCCGTCGACCTTCCTCAAGACACCTGCAACAACAGAAAAAACTCTCTCTAAGCCTTATTTGCTCACGACGTTGTGGAGGTGTCGAAAAAACCTCAATTTTTTTTAGGAAATAGAAAAGTGTTTCTGCACTTGGAATAATTCTTAATAAATGTAATTTCGACAAAATGATTTTTTGACCTTTAAAAAGAGCAAAAACGGAGTGCTCAAGAGGATGAGTTCGAAAATCGATATCAGCTGGGAGAGGGCTGTGTTAATTAAATTACCAATTATGCAAAGAAGAATAATGAGTGGCTTTTCGTGAGCTTTTTTAAAAATATTTATATATATATTTACATATCTATATATGTAAATATATAGATTTCTTGATCAAAATTGATTTCTTGATCTGAATGCGCCCAGACGGTTATGCATACCTTATAATAAGCTCCCACGATTCTGTTCTTGTTATAATTTACAATGTCACGAATTAAACCACACTACGAAACGTTCCGAATTGAATTGAGGTAGCTAATTGGTTTTATTATTCCATATAGGACTCAAATTCTCATATTTAATTTTTGATATTATCAGCCTAAATAGTTTTGATAATAATTCATTTACCAAATTTTATTCAAGACCAATTAAAGAGCAGTCAAAATATTCAGGGCTTTGCCCTGATAAGAGCAGCATTGCTTATACCCGTGCCGAAAAGTTTTATATCTTATCCTAACTTTTGCTCATTCCGTATGAAAGGTTTAAATAAAGTAGGGATTTTCTTGATTTTTCCCCGCCATAATTCTGATCAAAAAACCCCCTTCCTGCAATTGTATGGACGGTTGTTCTAACCGCTTAGCCAGGTGACCGAATACTTACGAACAGTTTTAGTAAATTAATGCAAAGCAACACTTGTTATAACAAGTGTTAAATTGTATTGTATTGCTGCTCCCATTATGTATACTCGGAGCATTTTAATCTCAATGCGGTTGAGCAGTGAACTAACTTCTGGTATTTCTTTTCAGAAGTTGTTTATTTCTAAACTAAGAAGATAAATAGATCATTACTGAACAAAAAATACGATAAAATTTGGCTGGATAATCTAAATAACATTTCTGTCTAGACATACACTCTTCGTTGGGTGTGAGTGAACAGATAGTATTAATGATGCTAAGAACATTAAACGATTTATTTAAGCCTGGCGAATTATCAAATTATCAGTATCACCCACTACAAACTCGTTCCTAATTTTGTACGACTCAAAGTTTTAATATTGATAGTCAATAGTCCCAAATTGGCCCAAATGGCATTTTTCAAACCCACAGTATTTTTAGGAAAAAGACTTCACAGGTTAAACACCTGTTTAAATGTGAGCTAAAGACTTCAATTATTTTCAGATCATATAAAAAAATAGTCCCAAATTGGTCAAATTGTCAATTTTTCAAACCCCGATAACTTTGCAAATTAAAGACTTCACAAGGATAAATACATTTTAAAATTTGAGCTCAAGGTATCAAAACTTTTCATATGATATAGAAAAAACTCAACGTGGCTAGTTAAAAAATCGAAGTTTGTCTGAAGAAAAACAGAAACGCACTGAACACAAATGTTCCATCCTTTCTTCAAAAGTCGGGACGGACAGAAGGTGAATGTTAGCTTGCTTCCAAGATGACTACCTAATTTGCTGCGAAATTGTTTTGACACTCAATCAACCCAATTGCCAAGTATTAAACAGGTTTCAAGTTTCAATCGCTTATTTTCAGACTTTTCAATAGATGTTCGGATACAATAGATATTCGAAACTAAATCGCGTACGAGCTTTCTTTGAGCTTTGATTGGCGTGGCCATTCAATGGTAGCGTATGTTATACTGCTTTTTGGTTAAAACTACTAGTAAAAACAGAAGTTAGCCAGCCTATCGTTAAAAACTCTGACACGATAGAACTCTATTGTGTATCAATTTTCAATGGTACACTAAATTCTGTTCGTACTTGATATTTTATTTTGATTTGGACGCTGAAGCAAAGAAAAGCTCATAGTTCTTAAACAGTCCAAAAAACAAAAATTGACACGTCTTCGAAAAATACTCTAAAGAAAGCAATTCAAAGCTCACGATTTTGGAATTATATACTACACTACAAAAATCAAGTAAGCTAATTCTTATATCATCAAATATAAAAACGCATTTGACAATTATGGAACAATCTGATATTAAATAGTTTAAATAAGTTACTGTGGGAAAACTCAATTTATTATTATTATTATTATTATTATTATTATTATGATTATTATTATTATTATTATTATTATTATTATTATTATTACTATTATTATTATTATTATTATTATTATTAATATTATTGCCTCAGGTTTTGTTTGGAAGCACCGACGACTCAAATCCCAAGTTCGAAGGTCGAACTTGAGACCAATCATTGCCTCGAATAAAGTCTATGGAGTTTCATATTCATTCAGAACACGCGTCTTCTTGCCCCAATTATTCCTGCAAAATATGCGGAAATGTGTTCGCTACAACTAGGGGACTGAAACAACACATGCACGTACACAGCAGCTGTGTGGTGAAACCATTCAAATGCGAGGTTTGTGGCAGGTCTTATACTCAATTCTCGAACCTATGTCGACACAAACGAATCGTGCACTTCGATTACCGAAAAGTATTTTATTGTTCCACTTGCGGCGATAGTTTCAACTCTGTCATCGCTCTAAACAAACACCGACGCAGGTTCTGCATCAACAAGATTCTGAAAAGGGTCCGTCGACCATCAACTTCGGTAGCGACCACAGCAGCACAGATTTTGAATGTTCATGCTCCAAACACCCATTTCATGACAGGAAGCTGCGCTTCGGCTTCATCTTTCCACTCGATTGACGAGAACCGAACGCGGAGTCGACATAGTTTCAGTTCCGAAGAAGAAACTTTCATGAAAAGAGAGGAGATTTTAAATGACATGAGCTGCGAGTCACCGTCAAACAAAGCAACACGACAATCCAAAGATGATGCGGACTATTCCACCGAACAAGACATGTTTGAAAGTAACTTTCAAAGTGGGCTAGCCGAGAACAAACATCGTGATTCAAATGAAGCTTTTAGAGCGGCACAAAATTTCGGATCAACCGAAAAACTTCTGCCATTTGGTCATCAGGAAGCAAACGCTCTTGACCCTGAGCTGTCTGCTTGGCTGAGCATGGAAGACGTTTGCAATCAATCAGAGTACCAAAAACTATTGCAACAATCGCAACTTGGATTCGGTTCCGATGCCGGAGGGCAAGTCCCGAAATTGAACCCTGGAATCATCGGGGGTTCTCTTGTATCTGCACCCTTCTTTAGAGGTCTACTGACAGCTTCCTACGATTCGCATGACTTTTTTTGTAATGTGGAAGATTCTTTGACGATTTGTAGCTCTGCCAAGAAAAATTACGTGTGCAAATTCTGTGCCAGAGTGTTCCCTCAGTCAGCTAACTTGACTAGACATCTCAGGACTCACACGGGGGAGAAGCCGTTCTCGTGCAAGTACTGCAACTCAGCCTTCAGTATATCGAGTAATCTGCACCGGCACGTGAGGAATACACACATCAAAAAGAAACCATACCACTGCAAGGCAAGAGTTCATAAGTCATTGTTCTCCTATCAGTAGTATGCATATAGTGCGTTAGGATCGGGGGGGGGGGGGTTGTCATACATGGATGACCATTAGGTATAAATCATAATGGTCACCATGTATTAAATGATCAGCAATGGTCACCATGTAATAATCCTAATTGTCACCATGTATAATTTTATACCTAATAGTCCTCATGTAAAACTTCGGTATATTATTGAGTATTCCCACTGAACGTTGTGGTTACATGTTTGGTGCGGGAAAGGATTTGCCAAATCTTCGTTCTGAAACCAGCTGGAGTGTTTAACTGCGCTATAGACTGTTTGCTCAATTCTTCTTAAAACTTTGATTCAAACTCAAATTACATACAAATACATACAAAAGTATGCTTAAGACACTATCGCTTAAATGAAAATGTTTATATCCCAGATTAACTGAGTTCCAAAGCTGAACAAAATCTCGCACTTAAATACACACTAAACGCGGAATAGCGGTAGGTCAAATTTTATGTACAGACAATTCTCATATTAAATAACTGAATTTTATTTACTATACAAAAGTTAATGTGGTGTTTTTTGTGTTTTAATCTATTCGTCGATTTTTTGACCGTGGTTCTTCTACTTCAACTGCTTCATAATCGAAAAACGAATCGTTGAAGAATGACGACTCGTCCTCATCGGAAGTATTGGCCTCCAGATCCGCGATATCCCCGCTATCAATATCACTGTCGTTGGTTTCTGCTGCCCGAATCAGACCGGGGTCTGGAGTTTGCCAACTGCTATTGACCTGGTCCATCAGTTGTCGAAGCGAGCGATGTGGTTGTGTGTTCTCAACAGCAAAACTATCCTCAGAGTATTCATCATCAATTTCCGGATGGTCCCAATTAATGTTTTGAGTGTTAGCGAATTCTTCAGACACCCCATCTAGGAAATCGTCACAATCCCACGACACTGGCTGTTGACGATCTTCAAAAAATGGCATCCATTTTTCCAAATCGTCATCATCGGTTGGGTCAGAATTAACAGCGGCTGTGTTGTCATCACTATCATCAATGCCAATCACAGTTTGACCCAAGATGTTTTTGTGACCGTAGGGAAGAGTCTGCTGACCATCATCGAGGATGTAGCGTTTGTCATCAAAAGCTGATAACGATGTTTTCGTCGAAGTCACTGTTTGCAGATTGTGTGACTCGGATGCGATTCGACTGTTTTCAGTTTTGAATAACGAGCCAGAGGTCAAGGTGTCTCGATATCGCTGATGGCTCAACATCTTCTGAGCAGCTTTCGATACACCCTTCGCCGATAATTTTCTGCAATCTATAAATATAATTATATGATTTCTAATCAATTTTTTGATGATCACTAATGTGTGGTGGTAAAAAAAGAACCAAATGCAATCTGTGGTTTTGTGTTTTTTAGGAGCTACATCATGTTAACTTGAAGGTCAGGTGCAACAAAAAAAAATGACATGAAGGCCAGGTGTGACCTTAAAAATTAGTCATCATTAAAAAAATCGACCAACACAAAAAAAAAAATCCCCAAAAAAATTAAAAAATTTTTTTGCAAAAAAAAAAAAACACTTTTTCGCCCGAAAAATTTTTCGAACAAAAAAAAATTTTTTTTTTCCAAAAAAAAAAAAATTGTCCACAAAAAAAAAATCGTCCGCAAAAAAAAAATCGCCCACAAAAAAAAAAAAAAAAATTTCGCCCACAAAAAAAAATCGCCCACAAAAAAAATTTTTTTCGCCCTCAAAAAAAAAAAAATTTTCGCCCACAAAAAAAAAAAAAATCGCCCACAAAAAAAATTTTCGCCCACAAAAAAAAAATTTTTTCGCCCACAAATAGATATTGCTTTCCAAAAAAAATTCCACAAAAAATCAAAATTTTTTGAAATTCGTGCTCACAAATAAGGCAAATAGAAATTAATTAATTACCTCTGGACAAAATGGAATAAAGCTTGGGTTTGAGGGATATAAACTCGGTTATAATGTCTCCTGGAAACTCATCCTTGAATTTTAAAACAACCATTTTGTTTTTTGGGTCGTAGAGAGGGTGGTTCTTCGGGTAATTTGACAAGTCAAGTTCATTCAAAATATTCCTTTTTTCGGAAATTTCTCGGTATAAATCTTCACTTTTGACTTGGTACAGGAGACTGTCTGTATCAGAATACAGTAGTTGACATTCAAAATTTGGTTTCATTATATCGTAATGAAATTTATACATGTGAAACTTTGCTAACTCAAGAACACTAGCTCCCACAATTGTTGGGACATCCCAATAGATTTTTGTTGGGTTCGAAGTGAACGCTGCCAAGTTTTCTCCAAAAATTTTGTAGGATTTAAATTCGAATGCACTAATTTCTCGCAAAGCGGCATGATAATCTCTAACTATTCGAACAAGCATCCGTTTGCGCTTCGACTCGCATGTTTTCCCATAAGCACAATTGTTCAGTAGTTTGTACAAATCCTCCTCAAATTTATTTCTAGCTTGTTGTCGTTTAGTCGTGTTCAATGTGATGTATGGTTCTAACCATGCTTCTTGTTCAAACTTCAGCACACGGTGCACTTTTTTAACTTTAAGTCCCAACCTAACAAACAATTGCAATAGTTTGTAATGAATTGTATAGTTTGACTTGTCATGCAGCGTCTGCAGTAACTTTTTGGTCTTTCCAATTGAACGTCTTGCAATGTCTTGATTTTTCATCTGCTCGAGTAAATTCGTTTGGTAGGGACTCAACCAATCCTGGGGTACACTTTCTTTAGTAGGAGCTAAAGGGTAATCTTGATGATCCTCATGCAGTTCTTCTGGGTACTCGAGATCAACTTCCAATATAAATCCAATCAAAGAGTCTTCAGTCATGTTGAGGATTTGGTTCACAATCACCTCGTCTTCTATATGCTCTATTAACTCAAAGTTACGCATCGGTAATTTCTCCGTTTGCATGACGCCGCCATAGAGGTTATTTGCATCGATCATAAACCCGTAGGTGCTAGGTTGATCTGGGTTGAAGTCGGGGCATTCTTTGTTGTTGGCTTTGAAAAAGCGACTATGGAACACGGATGCAGTACCACCTCGCATCATATTCTCGACCATTTCGAGATGCCTGCGGTCTGATAAAAGCTGAACATTCGAGTCTTTGCAGATACGTTTGAAGGCGTCTCCAGCTAAGTTTGAAGCACTAAAATGGTGCGCGCAGTCCAGACCATAAGTTTGGTGACTAATTTGTCGAAATTCTTCAAAGACGCAAGCAAGAAGGAGTGTATCACACTTGAGATACAAGTTGTGATAATCCTCCAAGTTTTGACATTTGAACATTCTAAAAACTTTCCTTGCATGCTCCAGATCCGCTTGTGAAACTGCAACTTTTCCTCCATTCAAAACATCGGACCAATTTTGCAAAGGAGGCAATTCTTTTTCTGCAAATTTTTCTCTTTTGGTCATGTACGAATAAGGGTAGAAACCTTTTTGTCGTATCAGACACCGTTGCTCCTCCGTCTCGTTTGCAAAATACTTGTTCAAAACTGACATTTTTTCCGCTGGTAGATTATCAACCAATTTTTGCAAGGAAGAATTCAAAAACTTGCATGAGTCAATAAATCTGAGGTATTCAAAAACTTTTTGCTCGGATCCGTTTTTCCTTTTTATAGTTTTAATTAGGACTCCAATGCTTAACGATATATATTTTTCGTCGGTGCTAGGTATAACACTCATTGTACTTGTTGGCTCGCATTCATGCAATGCGAGACAAATGTGGTGAAGGTCATAGTTCTGGATGTTATGTCCAATGACTGGGGTGAAATTTACAGTTCGTCTTGCGAGGTTGCATTTTTCATGTGCCCATCCCAAAAATTTTCCAGAAAAATGGCAATGGTCAAGACATTTTTCGTGCTCATTGGTAAAATGTATACAGCAAATCCAACATGTTGATGTGTTTTCTTTGTTCAACGATTCTTGGCTTTCTAGAAATTGAGGAAACCGTCGCTTTTGATCATATATCTCTCTCGCTAATTGATGCAACTGATTGAGAAACTTTTTCATGCATTGATCAGAGCTGTCATAGTCAAAGAAGTAGGGCTGTGAATTTCCGTGCTCAATTACAGCCAATGAATACCCACAAGCTTCGTGTTTTTGTACAACTCGGGTAGATGATCGCGATGGATTATCAGGACAAGAATCTACAGGTTTCAGAAATGATTCAAAATCAAAATAAATCACAAGTGGTACAAACCACAAGGCCTGGAGGTTTTTGAACTCGTATCTGTTGGTACCTTTTTCTGCTGAAGGCATGACTACTAGAGCAGGTTCATGATCCTTACAACACTGGATGTGTTGCTCGTGAGTTTCATCACTCCAACTAATGTGAAAGCAGTTTCTACATAAACGTGCAATTGGGCGATACTTACACCCTTTGATTTCGCAGATGAACTTTAACAAATCGATTATAAGTACATAGTGATGCTTTGCAGGCTCATACAAGAGAAGCAGGTCCATGTCAAATATTTCAGTTTGGGTGCTGTTATCTTGGTTTGGTCGTTTTGATATATACATAGGCAACAAATCTCCCTTGTGGTACTGGAACACATTTACCCGCACGTCGTTAAGTTGTTCAAATTTTCCAATTGAAGCGAAACTCATGGGTGAATCAAAATTACTTTGGGCTTTGTGTGCACTTTCTGCAGTGTATGTATCAGGTTGTGTCCGCGCAGCTGCTGGGTTCGCTTTTTGTTGATCAGTTAGAAGTAGGTCAACACCATGCTTCAGACTATAAGCAGCGGTAAAGCAAAGTTCGAAGCAATTATTATCTTCGTGATTTCTAATGTTTATCAAATCCTGGGACATTCGAATTCGAAAAGGCAAGTCAATATAAGATGACCCACGGATTGGTGAAAACTTTGCAAGTTTAACAAAAACTTGAATTACATGTTGCAAAACCCAACCGCTTCCATAAGATGCAAAAGTCTCCAAAACTGCTTGCATTTTTTCGACCATTTCAAAAAACTCA